TATCAAAATTAACTTATTCAATTACACATATTTTTATTTTTGTTTTTTATAACAGTTAACTAAAAATCAATTAAATTGAACCGAGTGATATTAATTTAGTTTACTTTGACTATTCATTCAAAATAAAATTCATAATTTTGCTTTACCCTTTTTACCAAATATAAATAAAAAACCAATAAACAATTCCCGATGTTATGGGAATACTATTCTTACCCGTGATAACAGCGTTAAAAAAAATTGCTCGTTGTCTACCGAAAAAAAATAAAAAAATTTGCTCGTACAAGGATGACTTATTTGCACCAGGATGCAAAATTCCCAAAACTGAACCCATCCATAGGTGACAGGCTTCACGCGAATCACCACTAAAAAGAGAAATAAATAAAAAAATATAGGATTAGGATTTTTTATATTATAAGAGATGATATTCTTTTTTATACATATATAAAAGTGTATGCAACTTTTTTTTTCTCTTCTCTTCATATAATTTTACGTGAATTTCACGTACTTTTAAGTTTGTGTAGGAGATAATTTTATCTTCTACAACAAGAAAAATATTAATCGTAAAAAATATATATATATGTACTTTGATTTTAATTGATTATTATTTGACATCAATTTTGTAGTTTTAACATGTAAAGACAAGATGCATATGGGTACAAAAGGGACATGGTTCGCAGTATTCGTTTCTTTTTATCGTCGGGTTTCAGTGGAAGAATCCAAAAGGCCATTACTCCTTGCTCTGCCCTGGGCCTAGCTAGTTTATTTTTATGCCACCCATGACTTTCCGTAAAATTGGTTAATTAATTAAATGCAGTGTCCTTTAGGCCAGAAAACGTTGCAATGTTTGTCCGATACTTGCCCTTTAATTTAATGTTGACACAAAATCTCTCTCTTATTCTCATTTCTTCCACTCATTGGATGGTAAAACTTACACAGGATAGCGTGGGTGAAAACGAAACTTCAAATCAAATCCAACCACATAAAAATAAATTATTTTTTTGAGTGGATTCTATTTTAACGTGATTTTCAAAAATAAAATAAAAAATAGTTGTTTATAATTTATTATAAGATTTAGTATGTGTACTTTTAAAATTGTGTCCCTTTAACAGTTATAACTATGTATCATGAGTAGTACATAATTAAAATATTAAAATTATATTTTTTTTTCATTTTTCATATAAGTAGACAGCTTCTGAAAAAAAAAAAAAATATAATTTTAATATTATAATTATGTATTACCCCATAATATATAGTTATAATTGCTAAAAAGACACAATCGAGACAAAAAACTTTTACCCTTTATTGTATATCCAAGTTAGTTAATCATAATTTATCACACCAAATTAATTTAATAAAAATTATTTTGTAACAAAAAATATAAAAGTAAAAATGAAAAATTATGTTTTTTTTACTTAGTCAAGTGCATTAGAAATCTCATATCCTTGGAAATTTAGAAAAACAAAGGATGAGGGGCTATAAATAAAAGTCCCCTCCATCCTTTTAAATATACTAAAATTTCTTCTTCTTTTTTCTATATATATTTTTGAGGGAGTTTTGTGAGGAGTTCTCTTAATTCAAAAAAGGGATAAAATTATTTTCTCTTTGTAATTAAAAAGAGATTGTAATTTTAGATTTTTATAATAATTTTTTTTATTCTTGCCCCATAATTTTTTCTCGATTTGTTTGAGAATTTTTCACGTTAAATTTTTATGGATTTTATAAGAGTTATGTTGGAAGAAAAGTGATTGTATCATGTTATAGAAATTCATTTTCCGTGCCTTAATTTTAATTTTTTTTTTTTACTTTAAAACATGCAGACTCCACAAAATATTATGTATAAGAAACTTTTTTCTTCTTCATGTTGCATGATCAATGCAAACACTTTTTTGTATTCCTCTTATTGATTTCAATTTCCTTTATCTATCTGATGGGACTTAATTTCCTAATAAGGTAAACTAGAAAATCGTAATGCCTAGGGTGAAAAAAAAATTGATTTCTTCTATTTTTCTAATAAAGTTATTACATTTTGTTTGTATACTCATAATTGTTGAACCAGAGAGTACAATCGCATCTTAGTTCTAAAAATTCGCGCTGTTAATTAATTTAGTCTCTGACATATCAATTGGATACTTTAAAATAATTTCTCAATAATTTAATTCCTTTATTTAGTAATAAATTAATTATGCGTGAATTACACTAAATAAAAGAACTAAATTATGTGTATTTATTAAACTTTAAAATATCAAATTAATTTATAAGGAACTATGTAAATTTATAGTAGGTGTACCATAAAAAGAGACTTAAAAAGTTTAAAATAGAGTTTTACACTTGAATAGATTTTTTAATCATATGAAGTATTTTCATACTTTGATTATAAAGCTAACAATGACAATTATCCCTCTTAAACATTTAGTTTAAGCTTGTTGTTTTTTTTTAAACATAGTTTAAGCTTGCTGAAACACATAAATGTCTATGTCAAATTGTCAACACGTTTTTGAGCCGAATGGCCTCACGTTAACCGTACGAGTACGATAGACTGTGCTGCAACTTGCAAGCGCTGCCCTATTGGGCTACGAGAACTCATGTGAGCTTTTACTACGCTTACATTCCGATACATACCGTGGGATGAACAAAACAATATAAATGATTGATTCACAAAATAATTTTTTTTTTGTCAATAATTTAATGACTAATAGGAGCATGTCCAAGAGGTAAAATTATTATTTTGTAATTGCAATGTCACGATTCAAATTTGAAAAATAGTTTCTTTGAAAATATATAACCGTAAGGTTATATATAAATATTGTTTTTATTTCATCCTCATTAGTATAGGTTTAATAACTATAATGTATGATTAATTTTTAAATTTCAAATGTTTTATAACATTATTTTGTGGGTAATAAAACTAGGATAATGAATAAATAGATATTGGCATTTTTTTTCTCTTTTTTTATTGAGAATAACAACTTTGAAAAATTATATTCTTATGTTGCATGTAATTCATCTCTCACGTCATACTTACATGAAAAAATATGTCTCTTTTTATTATTATTATAAATTGATGGATCCCATTTTATTTATCTCATAATATAAAATAACTTTTTTCTTACATCACAAGATAAATAAAGCTCAATAACTTTGTCTAATTGAGACGAATACAGATGGTAGATAGAGAGAAAAAAATGAGCTTCACCATATTCAATGTATGTACATTGCATAAGAAATAGGGTAAAGTATGTGTCATTTTAAAGGATATAAAATTATATCATTTTAAGAGAGAGAAAAAGATAGATAAAGGAAGAGAGAGAGTTGACAAAAAAAATAAAGGTGTGGGTCCCACCTCTTTGTGAGAGTGAAAGAATATAAGTTGTGTCATTCAAAAGGATAAACATTTTTCCCTAAGAAATATTAATTTTATTATTGTGAGTTTTAAGCTCAAGGTTATATTTATAAACTCTTACAAATTATATTATATCTAGGGGTGGTAAACGAGCCAGGGGCCTTTGGCTCGGCTCGTAAAGGCCTGAGCTCGTTTAATAAAAGCTCGTGTTGGAACCAGGCTTGGACTTGTATTAAAGCTCGTTTAATAAAAAGGCCTCAGGCTCTTGTTAAGAACCTTGGGGTCACCACCCCAAAAGGGGTGGTGTATCCCAAGGTTCTTAACATGGTATCAGAGCCTCACAATCCCCCGCTTTAAAAAGTGGAATTAAAATAAAAAAAATCGCAAAAAGGTAAAACCAAAAATGGGCCTGTGCAATTTCCCTCAAGGATTTTAACATGGTATCAGAGCCTCACCGTCTCCCGCTTTAAAAAGTGGAATTAAAATAAAAAAAAGCACAAAAAGGTAAACCAAAAATAGGCATGTGCAATTTCCACGCTTCTAGCCTAAAGGGCTCTTGCGTGAGGGGGCGTGTTGAGATATATAGTCCCACATTGATTGGATGAGCAACTAATATGGCCTTTATAAGGCCTTGGACACTCTCACCCTTTGAGCTAGCTTTTGGGGTGGTGTATCCCAAGGTTCTTAACATCTCTAATTCAAAAGCTCGGCCTTAGAGCCTCCCAGGCTAGCCTGGTATATAAATATTTATTTATACTTTTGATACTACTTGTAATAACTCTCTCTCATCAATTTATTTCATCCCATTTTATTGGTTTAACAGACTTTTTTGAATGATTTTGTTCTGTATTATGCTATTTGGATATATATTGAATTTATGTATATTTAGGGAATTACTAGTGTTATTCTATATTATCCTTCATCCTCCTTCACACAAACAAACCCACAAAAACTCATTCGTTCCATTGTGCACGGCTCGTTTGTGTCAATTTATTTTTTATTTTATTTTTATTTTTGTTGGCACTTTTTTTATAATGGGCTAAGATAATATAACCTGTTATCTACCTTCTCTCACTTTAATTTTTTTTATTTATTGTAGACTTCGTAAATTATTGCTGCAAATTGGAAGCTAAGGTTTCTATCTGAAAATTGATTTTTTGTGGAATTTTGTTCTCTTATTTTTATTCTTTAACATGCTAACAGGCTAAGACAGGCTTCACACAGGCTTTTATTTTTTGTAAATAAATCAGGCCACATGCCAATATTATATTCGTAACAGGTAACAGGCTAAGGCCAGTCGAACACGTTTAAATACAGGTTTGACCCGTTGATCAAAGTTCGGTTCGACTCGGCCCGTTAACATCCCTATATCTGACCAGTAATATATTATAGTTTGTAAAAGTTTATAAAAAAAAATTGTAAAAGAATTTTCCCATGGTTTTAACAATCAAACAATTTTATTTTATTTTATTTTTGTGATATATTTTCTCGTACCAAATCAAATCTACCTAAAAAGTCTTTGCCGATGTATAAATTACATAGGAGGCCGTGACTATAAACTTTAAAGAAGACCATTGAGTTCTTTCGCAATTACATACAGAAGACACAAGCCAAAGTGAGAGAGATCGAGGTGGTTTTACTTGTTCGATAAAGAACAGCAATGGGAGGTGGGCATGGAAATAAGAAGGGGTTCTGGAGTGTAGAGGAAGACAGAATTTTAATGGATTACGTAAAGAAGCATGGAATAGGAAAGTGGAACCGTATAGCTAAACTGACAGGTATATATATACATACATATATATATATATATATCATGAATACTGGAAAGACTTTGCAGAACGTACATGACGCTTTTATATTCTTCTTTCTCTTCCTTAATTTCTTTCTCAATCTGAATGTAGGGTTGAAGAGATGCGGCAAAAGTTGCAGACTTAGGTGGATGAATTATCTGAGTCCTAATGTTAAGCGTGGGGATTTCTCAGAGGAAGAGCAAGACCTAATTATTCGCCTCCACAAGCTCCTTGGAAATAGGTTAATTAATTTTTTCTTCTTTAATTAATATTATATTATGACATGCACATTTTATACTGGTTCCCTTATAGACTTAATTATGATGATAAATTTAATTAACTAGAGTACACACTTCACAATTGAATGATGTATTTTTGTGTTTAGGTGGTCTTTGATCGCTGGGAGGATTCCGGGGAGGACAGACAACCAGGTGAAGAATTATTGGAACAGTCATTTGAGCAAAAAGCTTGGTGTTGTTAAGAAGGAGAAGAGTAAAGTTTGTGCCCCTCCAAAAACATCTGTTCCCAATGAAGCAGAGTCCATTGGGGAAGTTGAAAAGCTCGTCCAAGCAAGCTCGGTTAGTGATCTCAACTTCGGAAGCACTCATGAGGTGATTCTGACTGATGATTTTGGGAGTACCTTTTGTTTTGCTAATAATGAGCTTAATCTCTTCTCTCCTTACTTGATGGAGTCTTTTGAAGACTATTTTATTGGCCTTTAGAAAACAGCTTTATAATTTATGATTAGTTTTTGGTCCATCTATTATTCCTCCAAATTCATCTCATCCTGTGTATGTATGTGCCTGCAATTATATATGTCAACACTCAACATCACGTTGCATGACAGTGACATATCATGGAGTGGACCTTAGCTTAGCTTAGCATGAAACACATTTTTTATTTACAAATGGTATATGTATAGGGTACTATAAAAAATCAACTTTCCTTCATTAATCCTTGCACCGTTTACTTATTTAGGGGGTATTTGGTATGAAACTTTTTTTACCAATTATGGGAAAATAGAATGGGATAATTTTTTTTTCTAATGTTTGGCACGAGGAAATTGAAAATATTTCCATTTTTTTTTTTTTTCATCATTTCAATTTTAACTACAGAATCTTAAATGAAAATATCATCTGATACATGATATTTTTATTTTCCCATAGTATCAGTATAATTAACTCAATATTCTCATAAAAATTTTAGACTTACCAAATACTTTTTTGTAACTTACCCGAAAAAAAAAATAAAAAATTCCACCATATATCCCCAATTTTTTTTTTCTATAAAAAAAAATATCTCCTCCATCAAATTTGTCCTTACATACATGAACGTACCAAGCAAAACCTTCCTGTTAGCGTATGTTCTAAAAATCATCGGATTCTATTGCAAAGACGCTTTTGTGCACATCAAGCCAGGACTATTGGGAGTTAAGAATTGTTTTGAATTTAATTGAGTGACTTTTAAGCAATTAAATATGTTGATTAAAAAAAGTCTTACGTTAAAAATAAAGGCTTACAATTTCTCATATTGCACGAGAAATTCAAATTTTTCTACCGAGAAAGAAAGAGGTGGGAAAAATGACAGCAATGATATGAAATCTATCTCGGTCTTAAGTTTTGATTTTTTTCTTTTCTTTTGGTTTTTTAATACAACGACAGCAATGAAATTTGAATTTATAACTTATATACACACTACACAAAGGGTTTCTCTTTTCTCATGTTACATGAGGTTGTATTTCTCATGTCATAGACACAACAAGTGATGGAATTCATCACTTGTTAAAAAAAATAATAAAATAAAAAAAATTACACAAATTTCGATGTCTCACCACATGAGAAAACTATCTTCGATTACATGAGAAAATGAAGCACAAATTCCTCAAAACAAACTCAATCCTAATAAGTTATGCTCTGAGTTTGAATCTACGACGGCAATATCATTATTATTATTTTTTTAAAAATCACCGGTGTAAAATAAAAATTGTTATTTTATTTTATTTTTATAAAAAATGGTCTATTTCTATTGTCAAGTCGTACAAAGTTACAACTAAAAATCTGATTACTCACCTCCCAGCTAAATTTGCCAAATGGTTGTAAGAAAGCAATACGTCAAATCCTTCTTGCAACATCTACATGTCATTGGCTAGAAACCCGTTCTGTAACTTTTAGTCCTAGATATCGGAGTGCCACTAACAAGAAGCTCCGCTTCTTCATTTTAATATACATCGTCGTTCAAAACTACGCCTTTCATCTTAAGTAAATGATGGTAATGGATAAGTAGTGTTCCTTATAATTTTACTGTAATAATGTTAAAAAAAAAAAGTACACTAAATCGCGTGTCAAGCTAACGATTTCTAAAAACTAATATTAAAAGGTTAAATTTTTATGCAAGTCATGTTTAATATACATTACTTTATTGAAAAAATTAAAAAAAAAACAAAACCCTGCAACAGATTCACTCACCGTTTTTTATAATTTAACACCATTTTAAAAAATAGATTGTTGAAAGTTACGAAAAATAGGTATAGACCAAAAAAACTTGGACCACGCAAGTAAAAAAAAAAAAAAAAAGTCTATTTAGAGCTCAGAAACGAAACTAATTCTTGCATATACAAAATGTAATTTGTAAAATGATATAACTCCATAAGAATCATATATTTACCACCTAAGGCTTTGTTTGGGAATATGAAAAGGAAGGGAAGAAAGGAGATCCAAAAGAGAGGGAGAAAAAAAAAGGAAAGAAAAATTAAAAGTATTGTCATTTTCTTTGTTTACGAGTTAAAAATATGATAAGAAAAAAAAATAGTGGGTTAATAAGATATTTTTATTATTTTATCATTTTTTAAAAAACTAATATAATTATTATATTTTACAAATGAAATTAAAATTAAAATTTCTTACAAAATTATTTATATAGTTTTCACATTTGGAAAATGATTTTCCCTATAAAAAATTATTTTATAGAGTATTGAAAATTATTTTCTCGATCTAAAAAATTATTTTTAATTTATTTTTAATTTTAAGAGCATGTAAGTAATTTTCAATATTTACTCTCCTATTTTCTTAAATTGAGAGAATTTTAATTCTAAAATTTGAGGAAACTTTGATTCTAAGAGTGAAAAAAGATTTTATAAAAATTCACAATTCGTTTTTTTTTTTTTAAACTCACGAATAAAAAAATATGAGTAAAACATTTTTGTTAGTTATCTTTCCCTTCTAATTTGGGATACGAAGCAAAGCCTAAAAATACAACAGAACAGCTATCAAGTGTTTTAGTTTTGTCCTTATCAAAACAGCAATCCCGTTTTCGTAATTATATAAGTGGTCCTTTAATTTGTTTGACGTTGATCGAAAATGGGATGAATTGGTGTTGCAGAATGGGCTTTTGAAGTGCGCTGGCACACACGGTAAATGGGATATTGACCCCCTACTGACGCGAATTTTAAAAAAAATTACTGAAAAGTCACGCTGAACAAATTTCTTTATACCAAAATCCGCGTTTTAAAGACAACTTATTAGTGGTGTTTACGATCTGGATTAGATTGGATTGGTTTTGAAAATAAAAATTATTCAATCTAATTTCTTCGGTTTGATCATATAATTATCCATTTGAATTGGATTTTTCTTTTAAATCCGATTCGATCCAATCCAATTTTTTTCGGTTTGGATTTGATCGGTTTTCGATTTTTTGAAAATCCTAAAATTTATTTCATGATTATTGTGTAAATAAGATCTTTTGTATATATTGATTTTGTAAAAAAAGAAATTTGAAATACAAAAGTATTAGTAAACTATAATATAGTTTTTTTTTTTGAGAAAATGAGATATGAAGCTTTACAAACATAAAATATTGTTGATGAGATGTGATTAGATTTTTTTTTGGGTTTAGTTGATGGGTTAATGAGTCTTGGGTTTAGAAATTTTTAGGCTCTGATTAAGGAAAAACCCAAATAGGTAGCGGAAAATTAATATATTGAATCGGTTTGGATTAGATCGGTTTTCATCAACCCATCTAAAAACTTATTCAATCCAATTAAAATTTCCTGTTTTTTTTCAGTTTCCAGTTTTTCGATTTTCGATTTATTCGGTTATCGATTTTTCAGTTCGGTCACCGCGGTTTGAATCAGTTTGGATCGGTTTATGAACATCCCTACAATCTAGTGGGAAAGTTATTAGGATTGGTTCAATGAGGAATTTTGATAAGTTGTATTATATTATGTATTTAATTTTCATTTGTACAAAAATAAAAGACCAGCTAGCGAGTCTTTGTCAAGTTAAGAAAAAAAATTAATACCAATTCAAATGTCTTTTTGCAATAATTCCAAATTCCTGGTATATTAGTAGGACCAGTGGGTATGATTGTGTTTCAGTTGGGTTGAATTTGACCGGTCAATCTGTTAAAAAGGGACGTGTTGGGTTATATTTTTTAAGCCACCTCAACCCGCTTTTCTTAGTTATGGGTTAAAATGGATTGACGGTGGATTGGGGCAGATTGACCCGCGGGTCAAATTTTTTTTTTTTTACTAATAGGTAGTATTTTAATTGTCACTAAGTTTTTATGATATGAAATTTTTTTATCTTAGTACTCTCTTAGAAAAAATAAAGAAAAAAAGCTTTATTTATTACAAAGATTATCCATATATTGAGGTAAAAATAAGTTCCTAAATAATATTTGACTGATATTAATATACATTTAGGTTTGAGATTGAAAAAATACTAAATGAATTGTGAAATGAAAATAAAAAATATTATAAAATTAGTAAAATATAATTTATTTTTAATTTTTAATTTTTTAGAAGGATTGACCCGTCAATCCACTATAAAACAAGATAAATTAAAATTTTCAACCTATATCAAAATATGAGGCAGGACGGGTTAATCCATTTTTGAGATGTTGACAGCGGACCGATCCGTTTTGTGATCTTCATTTTCCACACTTCCACCTGTGACACTTGCTTTAGTCCTATCGATGCTTACACTTGCTCTAAAAAGATGTGCCGCATGATTGGATGCTTTGTAACATTAAACATCCTTTACTTTTTATTTTAATAAAGGTTAAAAAGCGAGAAAAAAATAAATCTTACAACAGAGTGTATTTATCGATTTTTTTTTTGTAAACAGTATTTATCGATTTTCAATCACGTAGAATTGGAACGCATCAAGGTCAATATACTTCTTATTAGTCGAAAGAAGAAAAAACAAATATTTTAATAATAGGAAAAATGTCTATCATTTAAAATTACATAACTTACATCCTTTCACTCTCACAAAGAGGTGGGACCCACACCTTTATTTTTTTTGTCAACTCTCTCTCCTCCTTAATCTATCTCTCTCTCTCTTAAAATGACATAACTTTACATCCTTTAAAATTATACACACTTTTCCCTTTAATAATTGCATAAAATATAAAAGAAAAAGCGACCCCACAACCAATAAGATAGAGCAAGATACGTACCTTGTATACGTTATGTGGAAAAGCAAATCATCTTTATTTAGTATTCTATTTTTTAAAATGAAAACAAAAAACAGCATTTATTGTGGGTGTACGGCTTGGTCATCAGCTCACTCGAAAAACCCGCTTGCAATGCAGGGACATTGCACTTGGACATGGCACCAAGTTATTAAATCAGAACTCAGTTATTGATCCGATTGGCTATTGAACTTTGAGATAGAATTCGTTTATAATTTTTTTTTTTAAATTATATTGTATATGACCGGTCGTACTTAGTGTAATTTGTAAATAAAAAAGTTTATAAATATAACCTGTATCTTGAACTTTTGGGTTATTAGTTCAATCATTAATTTACTAGTTTAATCAATTAAATTAGTAGACCAGAATATTTATATACAAATTTATATTTTATATTAAAAAATTTACTAACATATTCAAATATATGTAAAAAATATGTTAATTTTAAATATTTTAATATAAAAAATAATAAATCACATATAATTGCACACTCAAATTTACAAATTTATAAAAGTTTGTTATTTTGTACAATAACGTTGAAGAAAGCAAGGTTGCAAGAGTGGGATTATATATTTAGGAAGTAAATTAGAAAAAACGAAGACTTTAATTTGTATGTTAATTAGTTCATTACCCGTACGATGCACAAGAAACAAAAAATAGTATCTTTGTCCCGTAAAAATTAACCAAAAAATCAGTTTGTTTATATGATATAAACGTGTAACTTTTAGGATAGGAACAAAAAAGAAACATTTTTTTTTTCATTGTCAAATGAAATAATGATGTTGAGCAATAGTTGAAGCTAATATATTTATGTTTTCAAATATATAGCTTATTAAAATAGGTATTGTCAACACGACAATGGTATATACAAAGCTCAAATTAAAGGAGAGCGCGAGACATAATCAAACTTTCCAAGAAACTGTTTTTATTGTGTAATATATAAGATGGAGCAATTAATAAACTCTTACCGAAAAAATAAGAGAAGACAAATGGTTTGCAACTTAATATTCGATATCCATAATATGTTCTAAGTATAAATAAGATTATCACGCAAAATTTCCATTTTCAAAAATTTAAATGTCATGTTTGACAGCAATATAATAAGAAAGGGAAATTATACTCTTATGTCACATAAGACTCCTCTCTCATTTTACACTCACATAAAAAGACGTGCCTCTCTTTTCTTTCTTTTTTCTTTTTTTTAAAAATTGGTGGACCCCACTTAATTTATCTCACAACATGAGATAACTTCTCTCATACAACATGAGAGAAGTAAAACCCAATAAGAAATATGCCAAATCGATACTCGTAACAGTTGTTAAATCTTTTCCGCCACGCACTTTTGGTATTTGCTCCTGTTAGAAATGAATCATAAACAATATATAAATAATAATCTGAAAAGAAAATATTATTGAAGGGAATTATATAGTGTTATGGCAGTGAAATAATTCAGAATTACAATGAAACACCATTTCTGCGAAAATACCAGTGAATAAAATACTGATTGTGCCTCGAATACTGATTCTGCATAACAATAAAAACTTAGCAGAAAAATAGGCATAACAACAAAATGAATGCAACAAAGAAGATTAAAAAATATTTTCTTATAAAAATTGAGTTATTACCTGATACCAAACAACAATGTTATCTCTTTCTAGAAATAACCAAGTATACTACATTAATCTTTGAAATACTTCCTTATAGACTATGTTAAAAGTAGTATTTGTAACACAACCATTTTCATCAAGTATCAGCATCTTCAATCCATGCCTGCTCTTTACTCTAGATAATGCGACATATAATTGCCCATGAGTGAAGACAGGCCTAGGAAGATGAATGCCAACATGAGAAAGCGACTGTCCTTGACTCTTGTTGATAGTCATCGCAAACAAAACTACCAAGGGAAATTGTCTTCTTTGGAAATTTACTGGAAATGTATGACTTGATGGGCTCATCGTCATTCTAGGGATTAACACAGTTTCTCCTATATTGCTTCCCGTAAGAACAATTGCCTCAACAACATGATTCCCCAATTTTGTAATAAGTAATCTCGTACCGTTGCATAAACCTCTTGATTGATCAATATTTCTCAATAGCATAACCGGAACTTTAACCTTCAAAGTTAATTTATGATCAGGAATCCCCGAACATGAGAATGTATTTAAGATCTCAGGGGAGATTTCGTCATCCTCAAGCGATGAATTACCATCTTGTTTCAAAACCTTATCTGAACTCAAAAATGTCCTTTCTTCACCTGGAATCACAGTCATTAGGTGCTCGTTTAACATGGCAACATCGGACAATTTAGGAGTTAGAATAGCGCGTTCTTTAAAGAACGTCGGATCTAAGATATTATCCATCAGATTCGAGTAGACAAAATCAACAATCTCTGAAAGTGGATCCTCTGAACCTTTAATCAACAATTCATCTGGAATTGTTATAATAGATTCTCCATCAACATCATCTCCAAGATCACCATCTCCTATTTTAAGTAGCCACTCAGAAAATTCTTTTACTTCTAACAAATTATTAGTGCTACTTCCACAATTGAGACACATATTCTTTGTCAAAGATAACAAATGACAATGGGACCATAGATACGAAGAATTGATTGTTGCACGAACTATCTCTTGTCTACTGCTATGTGGAATGACAGGTAATATTTGTCGAAAGTCTCCTCCTAGAATGACAACTTTTCCACCAAAGGGCATATCAACACAGCTGGTATCATAAAATCTAAGAACATCTTTAAGTGTTCTATCAAGAGCCTCAAAGCAAAATTTGTGTACCATCGGGGCCTCATCCCAAATGATTAACTTTGTTTTTGACAACAACTCTGCTAAAGTAGTATTTTGTTTTATATTACACGTTGAATCTTCGGTGATTTGAATAGGAATACGAAATATAGAATGTGTCGTACGTCCTCTTGGAAGTAGAAGGGAAACAATTCTGCTAGAAGCAACATTAAGCGCTATTTCAGCTCTTGATCGAACAAATGCTTACAGGATATTCCAAATAAATGTTTTTCCAGTGCCACCAAAGCCGAACAGGAAAAAAAACCCTAATTTACTTGTTGAAACAATTGAAATTATTTTGTCATAAACAACTCTCTGCTCATCAGTGAGGGAATTCATTAGTCTCTCATGCTCTTCTTTCAAAGAGAAACTGTCATACAACAATTCATCCATTACCTATCTATTCTGCATATCCAATAAAGATTCACAGCTGATACTCGGCATTGATGGGTAATCAGAGAGGCATTTACCATTGCTTTGCAACACCTTATCAATTTCTGCAAGGGTTATGTTTTTTATAGAATCCTCCGTAAGAAAAGCATATTTGTTTTCCTTATCAACACCTTATCAACTCCAGTTTGTGACCCCTATACATTGGCAGCAGGAAGAAGAACGTTAGTCATGAAATACATTAGTCAACAGAGTGTCAACAAAGTTAACATTTTGAATACCTGAGATTGTCAAGTTCCAACACAATCATATTTGTTTTCCTTCCGAAAACTATATGCTCACAAACTTCCCAACTCCTGATAGTAAACCAATGACGTCTAGAGAGCAAAGAAGACAACACTCACTTCATCATTAAAATCGCAAAAAATAATTCATGAACTGTTGTGATTTAAAATTATATTACCTACTAAATAAGGAGAGTCAAACGACTCTTTCTCAATGATGTCGTAATCAACAAAATCAAATACATTAGCAAAAAAATTAGAATTCGCAGTCGATCTAACATCAGTCCTCAAGTTGAAAGACAGACGATAATTATGCTGGGTTGGCATAAGTTTACCGCTATTGAATCCAACTCTGAATTTTTTTATAAAATACACCTCTCCGTCTATGATATTTTTTTGAACCTGCAGAGATCCTTTGACAGTAGCATGGATCCTTCCACCCTAAAAAAAAGGGAAAGCCAAAATATCAACAATGAAAACAAAAAATCATAACAACAGACATGGAAATTTAAAACAACAACAGAGATGAAATCACAACAGTGACGAAAACATTAAAAAAATGATCAGCACTACCCTTTCATCCAACAGAACCATCTCAACATTGTCGTCAAAATCTTTACGTTGAAAATTAGGAACCTTCCAATATCGAACCACCTTAACCTTAATCTTCCAGTCCTCCTTCGTAAGATTAAGATCCTTTATAAAATCATATCTTGAAACCATTTTGCTTTGGAAGATTGGAAGACAAAAAAGAAGAAAAGAAAGAGGCTATTTCTCTCAAAGAAACAATTAGCAAGAATTGAATACTAGAGGGAAAAACGAAATAACAATGTACAAATTTCCTTTTTATAGACGCAAGCAACAAAAGAAAAGCAATGAGAGAATAAATGAGTTGTCTGCCACCAAAAATTTTCCAAATCTTTTCCCACCATTACAATTTAAAATTCAAAATTGATTACCAAAATTTGAAATCAATTCATAGTTCAAATTTTAAAAGAGCTGAGCAATTCCAACGCAGAAAGCATTTAAAAGAGCTGAGTAATTCCAATGTGGAAAGTAGTGGAACATTGAATTAGTTGTCTGCCACCACAAATGGTTAACTTAATTTTCCATTGATTTTTTATTTCAATTTTTAAAAGAAAGAATTATTTATTTAATTTAAACTTTTACTAAAGAAGGAAAGTTTTCAAATGACTTGTAGTGTGAACACAAATGTGAGACTTAAGGAGAGAGTGACACATCGTTAGACTTTCCAACAAATGGATTTTCTTTATATATATATATATAGATGTTTTTTAATAACATGACTTTGAAGATGGTAGATAGTGGAGAAATATTTGCAAAAGAGAATTTCTTTTTTCATTAGTGTCATTTTTATATAATAACATCTTTTTGCTATGAACTAAATCATTTTATACATTAAATCCTATTAACGAGTTTTCAATTTAACAATTAATAACCTAATAAGGGAAACAAATTCACTCAATAACCTCGTAAATCCATAGAAAAAGCTAAGTTCTATACTTTTTTTTCATCTAAATCATCCTTTTTAGTGACAACCACTCAACCTCATTATTTCAGTGAGCAATTACACTAAAAAATGAATTAAAAAAATACGCAATTATAAAGGAAAGAGAGAGAAGCAACTATTTTGAAGGAAAAAGAAAAATACACAATTGTATGGGAGCTAAGCTGGTGGGATAAAAGCATATGTTCGATACTCTTCAGTACCATTTTTGGGAGGGATTTAAAGCCTCATCCTGAACTTACCCTGAACAGGATTGCCTCCCGTAGAGGATACCTGTGATTTATTCAAAAAAAAAATAAAAAAACACCAACAATTTTGAAGGGGGAAAACATACAATTATAGTGTTCATCAGATCCGAGCTTTCCTATATGTCCAATTGCCTACAAGAATAAGAGAATAAACACCATTTGGGTAGTTGGAGCATCTGTGGTTTTGATCTTTATTAGAGTTGTCTTGTTTCTGTAATGTAGGTGTAACAAAGAGTATAAGAATCTAGTAGGAGATGGAGGGCCTGAGATAATCGAAAGATTGATTTGAAAAGCGGTGATTTTCTTGTACTCAAGAGGTTGTGAGTCAAAAATCCAAGGACTCAGCTTTGCGTGGTGGCCATAGTTTTTCTCCTTCTCTTCCCCCTCTACTTCACATGTTTTTTTTTAACAAATATGCATGACGCGTCCATTTTTATTTAAATCGGTCGGGTTGAACCAGTTCTATTGCTTCTTCGATCTAAATATGAAACCCAGGCCGATTATATGACTGGTTCCTGGATTGACCCAACCGGGTCTATCCGATTTTTTCAACATTGCAAGGTACCTTTTTTTATCCTTTTTCAACATCGGATTTGTGTTGCGACTTCGGCAAGTGCATCAGCCGTAAAAGTAATAAAAGTGTATTGAGTACAAGATCGTTCCCACGAAGATTGGTTTTCAAGCACTAGTTCGCTAACAACGATTTAGGTGGACAATCGAATTTGAAATGAAAAGAAAGAAAATCAAAAACATGCAATTCCAGAAATTAAAGCAAGCAAAGAAAAAAAATTTGGTTTTGAAAATCAAGAAAAAACGTAGTTAAGATTTTGATTTCTCCCAATATCCTTATTATGTTATGGATGAAACAATCAAATAACTGCCCTTAATATAATGTCATTCGATTCCTCTAAAGTAATTAAGGTTCAATCCCTTGTTACCTTAATTCTATGTAAATTGTAATCTTAAAAGAATCCTAGTTCCCCGATTGTTCCCCAAGAAAACATGCATTAACAACAAGAATCTAAAGATTGCATAATTACCCTATGTCTATCCCTAGATCACAAGGATTATGATGAATTTATTAAATCAGGGTTTATGTACCAACATCCCTATTGTCATACAATTTTCCTAAATCAATCTACAAGGAGCAAACTCATAGAAAGCATTAGACATAGATAAATTCATTCAATTATAAAAAATAAAATTATAGAGATAATTTAATCCATAAACATAATAATTCAATTGGGTTACATCTACCATTAACTACATAAAAATTTAGCCTAACATAGTGAAATCAAAGACAAGAGAAAGTAAAGAAAATACCTCAAACTCCATTGGTGTGATGGCGTGAAGAATCCTCAAGACCCCCCAGCTTGTTCTTGAATTCAAACCGCTCCCGATGCTCCAAAGCATGAAAGACGTGTTTCTCTCTCCGAAGTAGGATTTGCTCTTTTCAATTGTTCAAAAGCTTTTCTCTTTCTGAATGTTCCACCTTGTTATAGTGATGAAACCATATCATTTAATTTTCCATAATATCTTCAATGGATTCTTCATTATAATTCCCAATCATATCTTTAATCAAATCCTTAAAATCTTCCCCTTTTATATTTAAAGGAAAAAATTTCCTAAAAAATATTCAAGATAATCTTCAATAAGATTTTCAATCAATTATATGATTCAGAAATTCAAAACAAATCCATTTGAGCTCTTCAATTCATTTTTTTATTGAGCTGAAAACTACAGTAAAATATAAGAATTTTCATGAGAATATTATTGACAATAAAAGAACACTTTAATTATAATTCTCATTACTTTTAATTATTTATAAATTAATTTCATGCTCATATTAACCTTTAATACATAATAAATTGGAGACTCATAAATTTAGTTAAAGCAAAGGTCACAAATGGAACACAAACACACTACTAGTCTCGTACTAGTCCTACTAACATATTATATCACAAGACATGCAAAAAGACATTTGAATTGGTATTAATTTTTTTAAAAATTGGCAAAGACCTGCTTATAGTATTAGCGGGTCTGTTATCTCAAACACGCTTCTCCAAATAACGGGTTTCAACATTCTTTTTGCACTTGACACATGGTAAAAAAGACCAACTTTTGCTATCAGTGGGTCTTAAAACGTGGCATTTTGGTAAAAAAAATATATGTTTGGCGTGCCATTTCAATAAAAAAATTGAAATTTGTGTCAGAATGGTCAATGTCCCCATGACAAATTGGTTTCATCCAACCTTGGTCGAGAAGAAACTATTGAGACGAAGTCGCAGAAGCAGTTTATCCGATCAGCAATACGAGCTTCCCACTTGGCAATTTGAGCTTACCTCTCGGCAGTTTTGATGTCATTATCGGTCGGCCAACCGAAGCAACCTGTCTGAAGTCACCTATCAGTCACAGAGGAAAAATAGAGGCAAGAAGCAAAAAAAATGCAAAAAATAAGAGCTAGAGATAAACACACAACAAAGTTTAACGTGAAAAATCTCTCCTAAAATAGAGGAGTAAAAACCACAGGATATGTAACATCCCAAGGGCTGGCAAGTGCAGGGAGTGAATACCGGGGCAAAAGAGGCACAAACAATGAGCCTGCTTATGCCAAATCTTGTAGCTGAGGGGTACATCAATGAATCGAATCAACACATAAAATAAAGGGATTCTAAAGACTGTGCAGGTATGGTACTATATAGTTAGGGATAACTTATAAGAATTAATTGGTACTACTTATACTAACAAGATACATCTACTTTTCGATAGTCCGGAATGGAAGAACTCCATAGTCAAGCGTACTTAACATAAGCAAATATTATTGACTCATAATCAAGCATGAATGGTGCAATAGATTCCTTGGTGAGGGAGTCATAGCGTATGTAGCACCTACACTTCAAAAAACATGGAGTGTTGTGTCCGACACCTCGACACTCTGACATGCTCCGACATCTATAATATTTGAAATTTCATTACATATCATGAAAAAATTGATCGATATTTTACCAAACTAATATAATAAAAATTAAAAATGGATACCGAATAAATCTCACTACAGTGTGTAAGATATTTTCAATTCGAAAATATAATAGTAAATATTTATATCTTATATTTCTTTGCAAAATTGATGGGTATTATAAGTTTAGTTTCATTTTTTTAATTATTGAATATTAAACATAACATACACAATATAAACTAAAAATGTTATTTAATATCAAAATATGTCCCAATATATCAAAATCTAATATTTTTTAAAATTAATGTATCAGAGTGTCATATCATATCTCATGTTCTGTGTCAATATCGGTGAAACATAGGTCATAACAGTGAGTCATCCATTGAGAATGAGTCACAGGTTTAAAAAGAATTTGGGAATTGGGATCAATGATATAAAAATTGGATCGACCCGGCTGTGTTGACCCGGAAACCAGTTAACCGGTCATGTAACAGTCCGATTTTCATATTGGACCGGCCATGTTACAGAATCAGTGTGACCCGGCCAATTTTCGTAACAATCGGTGACCCGACCGGTTTGTAAAATTTGTTCTCATCAATTAATGTCTTCCTTTTTTTCACTCTCATACATAAATAGTTTGTTTTCTTTTGAAATATTTGAGTGATTTGTAACTTATTAACTTACATAGATTATGTACCTACAACAATAATATTATCTTAGTTATGAAATATGCAGGGAATTTTGATTTGATTTATAGTTAGAGATGTCGTTTGCTGAACTTAAAACACCAGTATCACAAATATTAGATGTTTGATTGATCTTTTGTTAGACACTAAAATGTAATTTATTATTTTTAATATTAAAATATTTGAAATTGGAATCATATTTTTTACAGGTATTTAAGTATATTTATAGTTTTTTTAGTATAAATTATAGATTTATATATACTTGCCGGGTCATGCGGTTGAACTAATAACCCATTGGTTGAACCAGTGACCCAATACCTCGATCGAGTCAATAATCGAGCCGAATTTAATGACATTGATTGGGATAGTGATGAGCTCAGTGGCGTAAACTCGTACTTCCATATCTAGAATTATCTCTTCGCAAAATATGATCCCAATAATACTGAAGTTTTTTCCCCTCTATATCTTCCTACACAAATAATGTATATTTGTTTTGGATTGGTATAAGTTTATTGGACCAACCTCTAAAACCCATTAGAAATGTTATACCACATACCTTGAAAGAAATAAAACGACTGTGTCTGGATCTGGGAGAGAAGATCGAAAGAGAAGAAAAATAATTTAGAATTCATATCTAGTTCTAGATCTAGGCAACAACGAGTTTTTGTTTTGTTTTATTTTTTGTTTTACACACCAAATGACGTCTTTTCGTATGTAATTTTTTTAAAAAAAAAATGCAGCGACCCCTCCTGACCCGGGGGAGTCACAGGTTCAACCGGTGAGTTTGGAGTTCAGAGGGGTCAACGTGCATACATGGTCTAACTACTAACCCCAACCCTCAGAGAAAGAGGATCAGAGACCCGGCAAGATTGACCCCGAGGCGGAGTTTTAAAACACTGCTCTAGATGTAATTTTTATTTCACTATCTTTAGGTTTTCTTTAGCATAATTGATATTAATTAAGCAAATTTTAGGTTCTATTATATGTTTCACTATCTTATAATTGCTCTTTGTGTAGAGGGATGAATGCATTCGCTGAGAAGCTCTTTAGGGGGTGTTTGGTAGATGAATTTTTTTTTTACCAGGAATATGGTGGGAAAGTGAATTTTGTAGGAAAGTTAAAAAAAGTTGTTTGGTAGCCAAAATATTATCGAAAAAATTGGGTTAAATTTTCTGAGTCTATATTTGGTTGAATGTAAAATATTGATGGGAAAATAGGTTAAAATGACAAAAATAACCCTTATAATTTTTTGAAAAGAACCACTGGCTAAAAAGTGAGACTGTCGTAACATTGGGAGGGTCATTTTGGTCCATGATTTGGTGCTCATTTTTTCACTTATCCGATTATCCCAAAATACCACATTAGAAGTGGTATGCTGGAAAAGTAACTTTCATCACAATTTTAACAAAAAACAAAAATCCTAGGCATCATATTTGACTGGAATAGTTTTTGTTAAACTTTTATCAAACATGGTATTTTTCAATATCCATCTACACTTTTTCAATAATCCCAAAAAAACTTGTACCAAACACTGCAGGGAATGTACATTGGTTGGGAGGATGAATATGTGGTAGGATTTGGGTCTTTCCCCCCTCTACACTTTGCCGGAAAATTGTTTCAGATTTTTATTTGCTGCTATTACTGTGGCGCAACTCAAATGCAACTGGAAAATAAAAAATTAAAAAAATAGAAACACCAAAATTTCACATATTACTATATGGGAAATTGAAAGAATGAATGCTAGCTAACTCCAAAATTTCAACCAGTTAAAATAGTACAAAATAATTACCACTCAGAAGTCAAAATTGCATTCAGATGAGTCACCTTGTTATATGGTTAATTGTTATAATAACAAAGTAAATGTAAGTTAATTGTTTTAATTGAAAGTCGAGGGCGGTAAATTGTCCTAAATATTATTTTATCACACTTGATTTCATTCCCCTCCTCATGCATAAGGTGAGAATGCTTCTCTCACACCTAATGAAATCCACAAGGACAAAAATGATTATAATTCTCTCTTTTGTTTTGCTAATAATGGGCTTAATCTCTTCACTTCGCTCGATTCTTAACTTTTGTCTTAGACCCAATCGTAGTGACTCTCTTATTTAGTACTGTTATATTGACATCGAGAGAAATATACTTAATTTTACTACACAAATAATTTAATATTAAATTTTATTTGTGCATTATAAAAAAATAAACTATTTTTTAATATTTATTTTTTTAGTTTATTAAATAATACTCGGGACTTTATTAAACATTAAAGGCTATTTGTTCTAACACTAGTGTCAAATTTAAAGTAAAACATCTTATCTGAAAGCCGTTAGATCAAAAAAGATCAATGATGTCACATATTTACAAATCAGAGTCATTGATCTAACGGCTCTTCGATAAGATGTCAAACTTTAAATTTGACACTGATGTCAAAGAACCTTATCCATTATATATATATATATGGGATATATTTTTCTTATGTTGTTGGAAAAGAATTACCTCATGTTGTAGAAATAAAAGTATAAGTGGGACCCACATGTAAGAGGAGAGAGAAAAAAAAAGTGGTGGGACCCAACCCTTTTTGTGTGTGTAGGAGAGATGTTTATCTCATGTAAAATGAGATAAACATAACCCTATATATATATATATAATATAGGGAAATTTTATACTTAATATTAATTATTGATCTCCTTATATCTAAAGGTTTGTATATTTACTGAATCAGAATTATTAGATATAGACAGAATCAATAATCAAGATGAAAAATATAAATTACACTGATATAAAATTATTGGAACGTTATATATATTACACACATTTGAAACTTTTAATTTTGAAAAATCTTTTATTGATTATTATGTGTATATATATCTTACTGTGGCTAATGTTAATGTCAAAAGTTTTGAGTATTGATTAAAGAAAACAAGAAAGGTTGTTTGTTTTGGGTTTTGATCGAACTTTTGAGGTTCTGATTTTGTTGATTGGTTGTTTGTTTAGGGAAATGGCAAACTCAAAGGGACAAAAGAGGGGTTGGTTCATTAATGGTTTTGGTGGCGGTGACTTGTTTCATGCGGTAGTTCGAGGCGTATATGTATGAGGGTTGCAGGGTGTTCGAGTGGCGAATAAACACTTTACAAAAGGAAGGACTTCAAAGCAATGAACATAAGTAGGAGGGTTCAAAACATAAATAAAATCAAACCTGGTATACCTGTTGTGCCTGGTTCATGCTCTTAACTTTATTTCTGAGCATTGTTGAAATTGAAAGCTCCTTGTTACATTTAACAGTGCTTGGACAAAACCGAAATAGAGCAAACACACTTTTAAACTGGGAATTCAACTTTGATGCAAAAAAAATGTTTTATATTTATGTAAAATGATATACTATTATATTATATTATTTTATGTAATTATTAATACAATTAATATATTAATTATTGCCTCAACATATTATTAAATAAAAATATAAAAAAGAAGTTTAACCTCTTAACAGCTTGAACTATATATAAAGTCCGTGTGGTTTAATTTTTTTGTAAAATCAATTTTAAAAAGAAAATGATTTTATTCATTCATAAAATTACCTTTTTTTTATATTTTTCTTAAAAACAATTCTAATAATTTTGAAAACCCAATAAAATTACCCAATACACTTACAGTGACACTGCAATCCCATTTTACACAAACCCAATATAAAAATTTGACTAACGTTCATCCTTTTGGCGTGTTCCGTAGCCCAACCAACGACAGCAGCAAGAGGATATGATATGATATGATATGACGATATGCTTGCGAAAGGAGAAGTGCAAATAAAACTCTAATTTCGTTTTCTTCAGCAAATCCATTCACTCAATTCACTTCATCTTCATCTTCATCTTCACTGTAATCTCATCCCTGTTTTCTCCTCCTTCTGACTTTAGCTACCTTAATCACTTCTTTTTCTTCACTCTAATTCTAATATTATAATTTTTTTTTTTTTTTGGTTCTCTTCTACAGGAATTATAACCTCGGATTTGAGTGGCAGATGCGCATGATAAAAACATGGCCACTCAATCGGCACCTCCTCCCACTCCCACCGCTACCGACGAAAACCTTCGCAACCAAGGTTCTGATCTCTTTTCTCTCCTTTTCCCTCTGCTGCTAACTTTTATTCATTTCAGCTTTCTTATTATCGATTACTGTAGGATCCGTAATTGCTTCCCTAGTCAAATCGGAGAATTTTTCTGATTCTACTTTTCACTTTGAATAACGTCTTTTTTGCTTTGTTATATTCCTGTTGTGAGTCACATACGTAATTTGATAGCATAGTATATACTGTCAATTAAAATATTTATTGTTATCATTTTTTTTTTCTTTGAACTCTTCTTATCCCTGATAGCATTCACATGACTAACTGATAATCTTGCACATAGAGAATTTTTCTCTTTTGGAGGGGTAATCTTTTGCTTGATTTGAGCACAATTTCATTTTTTTTATTCTATTCTATGATACAAAATTATTGTACACGATTACCTCTATACACTTGTTTTCTTGTCACTCTCCCGCACAATTCTCATACACTACATGGAAAAGGGAAACAGTGAGACAGGGAAAATACACAGAAAATGTATACAAACGAGACATTGAATAATTATAATACAAAACCTTGACATAGCAATTCAATATATAAAACTATAACATACTGATTCCCTTAACTTTGAGTGCAGTAGTAGTAATTTTTAACTTAACCAAGAAAACACATAATAATACATTATATTTTTCAACAGATTCCTTATTTTTCTTATACCAAAGTTTTTGCTGCCTTCATCATTTTATTGAACTGTTTGCCATTGAATGTCTCCATGCCAAATTGGATTTGCTAGCATATTGTTTGAGTAAGTTGTAAGCTGTATTGTTTTGGAATGATAAAATTGATTTGTTAATTCTCTTTTTTGAGGTTTAGGTGCTGAAACTGTGCAACCAACAAATGTAGATCAGCAAAATACCAGAGAGGAGCCTGTTAAAGAGAGTTCAACTACATCAGTCTTTGTGAACTCACAACCGTTGCGGGAAGAACAAGTTCAGAATGCTGTAAAATTTCTATCACACCCAAAAGTTAGAGGTTCACCTGTCATCTACAGGCGATCATTTCTGGAGAAGAAGGGCCTTACGAAGGAGGAGATTGATGAAGCCTTCCGGCTTGTACCAGTAAGCTAGTTTTTTTTTTTTTTTTTTGTTAAATTATTTTATCAGTCACTCAATTTTCTAGACTTCTTTTCACAGCCAACCAATTGATTATCAGCTAATCATATTCCTGTATGTTCATCTGTTTTAATTCTTACCTTTGGTTCAAATCACAGGATTCAGCTCCAACTGTGCAGACATCTGGTGTACAGCAAGGTGAAATGTCTAATATTGAAGTTACAGTATGGTGTTCTTTGTTTTCCTTACTGCTTCAGTTACATTTTGAACATGGCTTATTGTAATTCTGACAGATGGACAATTGAAATCATCATCAAACATTCAGCAACAAGCCCAACTAGCCCAACAACAAACTCTGCAGCCGGGTTTACCTGCTTCTACTGGTGTTAATACTTCATCAGGAACCTTATCACGCTCCCGATTTCACTGGTCCCATGCCGCTATTGCAGTTGGATTACTGGCTGCTTCAGGTGCTGGAACAGTTATAATAATTAAGGTATTATCACCAACTGTTATTCATTATGCCATCTAAATTGGTATCTTAATAGTTGAAAAGGTGACCAAACTGCAATTCAAATGTTGAATCAATAAGCTAATTTTTGAATTGTGAATTGGGATCCAATCATAGATGCAAAGATACAATGAAAAATAGCTTGAAATATATCATATAAATGATGTAAAATGCTTAATTCAATAATTTTAAATTAGGAATTGACAAAACAACTTGACCTAACTCTTACACGGAATAAAATAATAAGCCATAACTGACTCAAATAAAATGATTGCGTGAAGCCTATATTCAGAAGAACCAAAATAGAGCACTAATATAACCAAATAAGGTGCATATAGAGTGAGCTAGTGACTGTGTGAAGCCTTTGTTTCAAAAGAATGAAAAAGTGCAATAGAATGGTAAAATATGATGTATAGAGTGTGTGAGTATCTATGTGAATCCCTTGTCTCGGAAGAATGAAAACAGAGCAATGGGATAATCAAATAAGGTGCATTTAGTAGCGCTTTTGTACTTTATTTTCATTTAACAGTTTAAGCTTGTCTGCCTTTTTGATTTCTTTTATGAGAATTGGCGAAAACAAAGAAAAATAATAATAATAAAAATAGTAAATAAAATATTAATGAGTCATTGAATCGTGTAATTTGTATCGGTGATACGGAATCACATGATTCAAAGCCATTTCTGATTAATCTCATGATACAAAGGGCTGGCTTGCCGAATTGTGATATTTGAATGGCAAATCGGAAGATTTTTACAACTATGCTGTGCTATGTACAGTTTGTTATTGACATTTTATCATTTCTTGTGTTTAATATATTGCCACGTGCACAAGTTTGTTTGATCCTCACTGAACTTTTGAAGCATGCTCCATTTTTAGAATTCCATTCTTCCTCGGTTAAAATCTTGGATACGCAAGGTCGTCTTAGATGAAGAAGGTGAACAATTCATGAAATCTGACAAAAAACCGACAGTGGTGGAAGAAGCTGCACAAGCTGCAAAATCAGCTGCAGCTGCAGCTGCAGATGTGGCAAGAGCAAGCCAAGAAATGCTGGCTTCAAAAGGTGAAGGTAGGTTTAATAGAACTTCAATTTGCATGTTATAAAATGTCTTTGATATGTTTTAATGTTCCTACTCTCCCTAGATGGCTTTTATTTATTGGAAATGGCTGTAGTTATTGCTGCATCTGGTTTTATACATTGCAGAGAGGAGATACTTTGTGGAAGTTGTGAGCCTTTTAGAAAAGCAAGTACAAGAAATGAAGTTAATGACAAATGCAATAAGAAGATTGGAAGGTAATTGAGATTGCCATTTAATCTATTGGGGTGAGATGAGAAGTTTCAAATGTTTTGAATAGTTTATATACAGTTTGAATTATGATTTGCCAATAGTTCCTGTATATTTAACAAGAATGCATTTAGTTGTGTAATTGGGGAACTTGTGAATTTATAACCCCTTCAGAATGCATCAAGGCATATGATATGGATGTTTTGGCTCATGGTGACCAGGAGCCTTGACAAATTTTATGTGCATTTTAACTATTCTCGCTGGATTCCTAGCTTCATGAATCATGACTTTGTCAGGAAGCTCTATTATTCCATTGAATTCAACTTTCATGCAAGCATTTTAGGCTACCTGATAACTTTCAGTGGCTTATCATGTCAGAAATTCCAGCACATTTATGCTGGAGGTTTTTACCAGTTACTTAGAATATTGAAGTTCTTGTTGAATATCTGTTTCTGCCAAATTATTGGACAATATAAACCTTCTAATGGAGTCTCTGGTTCAGGGCAAGAAGATCTCCGAGTCAGTCAAACAAGTTCAAAGGTCAGATATAAATAGATTTAGATGGGGACCATCTCAGGATCTTTAATGAAATTTTCACACACCTTTTCTTATCCTCATTTGAGTTGTCTAAAATAAGTTTTTGACTTTTGTCAACTGTAATTTTTTTAAATATATGCAGCAACTGATTGTGAATGGCAAGGCAGACTATGACTCACGTTCAGGTTGTTATATTGGTAACTAAATCTTAATTGATTTTATCTTATCTTCTGAATTATTACCTTTAATTAGAATGTCATGTGCAGTGAGATCTTTATCCCCACCTGCATCTGTTGAACCAGCAAGTGCTCCTCATCCAAAGTCGTATATGGAGGTAGCAAATTTCTTGCTTTTATAATTATCTTTTTTTGTACACCCTCCCTCCCTACATTGCCTTTTATTTATGGGTCATATCTGAATGTTTGTAATTTTCAGTCATGCCTTGAAGGTCACTTTTACAATAATCAAAATATAACATTTATGCATTGAATACTTTTGGATATGGGCTTTAGCTATGGATTATAACTTTTCTATTATGGCCAATGTTCCTTTGAGTTGTGCTTCTGAAAATGCCCAAGTCAGCACAGCTAATTTGGGTATTCATGATTGAGATTTTCACTAGGAAGATGAAATTGTGATTATAGTCTATTATACTGTTTTTTGGTTTGTCAGTCCTTGTTATTACAATCTTGAGTGTCAGTTGCATAGTTGATGCCTAATTTACTCTATTTTCTTTGCGTACTAGTTAAGTAAAGTATTTAAGAATCAACAGTATTTGCTTCCAATGAGATTCTCCTTTTTTTTAATTAAGATATAGTTTCAGTTATGTGATCCTTCATGAGAATTAGTTCCTGCAATAAGGCCCTGCAACACACAAGTTTTTCGAGAAGCCTCGAACTTAGTATTTCCTTGCTGTCTATAAACTACTCTGCCAGCTAGCCAAAAACATTTTGGGCCTTCAAGTATATGGGATCTGAAATTACCAATTGTTTAAAAGTTAATTCTATTGGTAATGTAATAAATTTACCTGTAGATTTGAACCTGCTCTACCCTGTAGCTCAAATTAGAGAAGTCAATTTTTTGTCAATGCCCATTAAGCAGAAAACTGATACGCCCTAGCCCCAGTTAATGGCTAGGAGGAAGAGAAGTGGACTGCATTAAAATGGGCTGATTGAGCAGACTGGTTGCATGTGTTGTAAAAGAGGAATAGGTTGGAATTGGAAGGACTGTCACTGCCCTCACAGCAGAGGAAAAGATGAAGTTTGTTAACAGTCAGGACAGCTGCCGTGATGGCATTGGAGAGGGAAATGTGAATGGGAGTGTGATAAAAAATTAGGCTAGAATTGAGAGCTTTTTTTGAGGTGTGGGATGGGTGGGGGATTCTCATTCTCTGTGCTTCACCGGACCCCATTGTTATCTTTGTTTTCTTTTTCTGCATTTTTCTTGTGAATTCTGTGTCTGCAGAGGTCTATCTATGAGTAAAGGAGGTAGTCTCCGATATACCTATAATTTCCAGTTCCTATCTCAAACACTTCCTAAGGGCTTGCATGGTGGATCTGCATGCTGCAAACATCGAGTAGATACAGTTTTAGCAATGGTACCACAACAGGTTGAACTGGCCAATTCAGTCTGAATGATGTGTCTTTTTTGTGGAATCTTTCTGCCTCTAGTAAACGCATCCAGTTTTGAGAGGACATTCTCTCAAAATTTTGCAAAGATTTAAAAGTTCTCTCATATTCAGCAGCTCATGTAGTACATGAATGAAAGTGTTCACTACCTCAGTTTTGACAACTATGTAGTAGTATTTAATAATTGTTTATATTTTCTTCATATTTGATGAAATAGGTAGAGTGTTATTTATCTTCCTTAATAATTACATGATTTTGTTTGACTTTTACAATTATTTTTTGCAGATAATGGCCATGGTCCAAAGAGGGGAGAAGCCTTCTAACATTAGAGTAAACCTTCATACTTTTTAATATGGATAAATATAGTTGCTTGCTAAAATCATACTCCTCATTTATGCACCATTGAAATAAGGTTATTGAAAGTAATTAAAGTTTTTCATGGGAGGAGAGGTCTTCCTGTGGAGTAAAAGATTATGGTGTGCAAATAATATTACTCTTCTATATTGGGTTTACCAATTTTATTTGACCACTGTTACTTTTATAAAATGCTTTATGCTGGGTTTTAATGCAGGATATCAATGATTTAGCCCCGAACCCTAGTCAACAACCATCAAATCCTCGCTTAGTGCCTAGACCCAAGGTTTATTACAATGTGCTTTGCATTTCCTAAATGTTTTAGGTTTAAGTTTTTGATTTGACAAGTCTCAATTTTTTTAAATTTAGTTTGGTTCATCTTGGAGTATTTTCTGTCAATAAACTCATCTGCAGCATGATGGTTTATAGATTTTTGTAGTCTGATTACTGACCATATTTGTGAATATGACGTGTCCTGCAATTGTATCGTCAAGGAAAAGATAGTTGATCTAGTGATAAATTTAATTTCTAGATTGTGTTTTGCTAGCATAATATTTAAACTTACAGAAGCTTTAAATTCTATGGCAACTTTATAATTAGCTACTGCTTGAAAACGTCAAATTACTGGGATAGATCTAAATTGGACCTTATTTTCTTTAGAAATGAACACAAGTGTGGGGGACTATATGATTTTTATACTGGGCCATTACATCTGATATTAAAGTTTATTTAAGCTAAGATAGGAAAAAAGATTTGCAGACTGTGGAAAAATTAACAACTTTTATGTTACATTTGTTAGGATACGTAGCTAAATAGGAGGTTATCTTGTTTTTAATCCGAGAGATATAATTTGAATTGTGTTATATTGTGGCTTCTAATTAACCCCTTAGAATGATACAAACATTAAATGTGTATGTGTGTGTGTGTAATTTATGCATAAGCCCTTAGAATGATACAAACATTAAACAGTCATTTATGCATAATTCCTAATATTCATTTCTCAGTGGTATTGTTTCATATGAATCTGATTGTTTGCTTCAATTTCTCCTGGGTAGCCTTGGGAGGTTAGTCAGGTGCAAAACACGTCTACCCAATTCCTTCAGTCTCAAGTAAATGGTGAAGACTTGAATATCAAGGTCCAAGATACCATTCAATTAAATGGGGACGACCCAGTGCCCTTGTGGCAGAAGAAAAATGTCAGAATCAGAGAGATTGATAATGAAAATGAGTATAATGGAGCACCTCATGGGGCTGCATCCAGTCAGCAGCCAATCCAACGGTTGTGGGTTCCTCCACAACCTCCCCCCATAGTGATGCCGGAGGCTGCAGAAGCAATCAGACGCCCAAAGGCGGCAGTTCAAAAGGAAGAGACATCAGATAATCAGCCAGTAGCTCATTCTTCAGACATTTCTGATGAGGTACATAGGATCCCGAAACAATCGGAATCTGAAGGTGCAGTAGAGGGCATTGGTGTCAGCTCAATTCTCAGCTCTGGTGAGATACAAGAAGACTATGAAGTCAGGTATGAAGAGAAATGAAGGTGAATCATGATCCATCATGAAAAACAAGAAGTCGGAAATAGAACCTGAGGTAGTCCCAAATTTTAGATAAGCTGGAGACCATCTTGTTTCGTGATCGTATTCTGTACTTGTGAAGCGGACACCAATACAAGATGCAAATGGTCGTGTCTTTTTATGAAAGAATATTGCATAAATATGAATGCACTATTCTATGTTTTATTATATGTTACAATTTATAGTTTGAGTGCACAAAACCGATATGGAATTCGATAATATTATCATGTATTCTTATATTTAAAATACCTAAAAACGATTTATTCTTCTGCGTTGTTGCAAAGAAAATCAATGACAAATTAATGGTAATGCAAAGGAAAAATCTGACCGATGTTTTAGCGAGAAAAGAAAAAGTTTCGTCCGCGTAGGATCTCAAAAGGTCTCCTCTGTCTTATAGAGAATTTCATTTCAAAGAACTGCATTTTTTATGAAAATTTGTGACTTGTGGGCTTGTGGCATATCAATATTCAAGCTGTACCGTAAATCTATTCTACCCGTATTAGACCTGATAGTATAAGCTTATACTATACATTATGACATATTCAGTTGTTTGGTGTGACCATCGTATAGTATAAGCTTATACAGCAGGATCCCTTTATACATCAAAATGATGTATAACTTAATCAAGTTTAAGCGGGTAGGATTAGGCCTGATAATGGGTTAATGTATTAATGTTGTTTAAAAGTACAATTTCCAAGAACTAATATATCATTTCAATATTAATATATTAAAATAATTTTTTTAATATATTAATTTTTAAAATATTAGAGGGTATTAACTTATACAATACCATACCAAATGCAGGATAGTATTACAATTTAATCAAATCTTATACAATCAGGTCTTATATTATCAGGCGGCATGTGCGAAACAATCCTTAGCGTCGCTAAACTTGCTGCTTTTGTATATTATGTGAATGTGCTTTATAATTGTACTCCACGCGTCCACGAAGAACATGGATTTTTTAATTTATTTTTAGTCATTTGTTTCAGGTAGCTCGTTTGCATCATATCTGGTTTTACTCTTTTAGATTCTTGGAGATCTAATTTTCTTTTTTTAATTGGATATTTGTATCCATTCAAAGAACTTTAAAGATGTTTTACATAACAATATTATCAGTTCAGTTATTCAGGTATTGTGTCATATATGAACCTTGAGCGATGACATGGCCTTTTGGGCTATATCCGTGTCTAATTTGAAAACAGTAAATCAGTAATCTCCTTTTCTCAATTTCCCGCCTACTTATTTGGAGAAAATTCAATCTCGATTTAATTATTAAAATACTAAACTAAGACCCAACTAGGTTGGCAAAAGTGAGTTGCCAACTCGACCCGATCTAACTTGGAAAAAACGAACCAATCTGCGGGTCAAACGGTTCAATTTGCGGGTTGAAATATCTTACCCACTTGGTAGCAAGTGGTTCTAATTGTTTCTCGATGTTGGTGCAAATTTGTTGTGAAGAAAATTCGAAATTAGAATATTTTATTTCTACTTCTCATTCTATAACCCTTTTCTATTTTGCTTTTTTTATAAACTATTATGTAAGACAATTGTATTGTTTAAGTTGATGGAAGTCACACAACTAGTGCATTAATACTACAGGTTCATTTAAATAGGATGAAAACGAGACAACCCGCAAGCCATTTTTTAGCCAACCAGCGAGTCAATTTTTGAGTCAACTCGCAAGCCAACCTTAATCCGGCTCAGGTTGAGTTGGATTTTTTAGCTCAATTTTTTTTTTCGAACCAACCCTAGCCCAACTCGTTTTTTTCGAATTGCACGTGAATTGGATCGGGTTGGTCCATTTTGCCAACCCTAAACCCAACATATTGTAATAGTTTCAATGCTCAGAATAATTTTATTTTAAAAAAACGAATATTGGAAAGAGAAAGCTTCACATGGGTACGAACGAAAAAAAAACTTCACATCGATATACCTTGTCCATTTGGATTAATATGTGAAATTTGTTGCTCAAAATTCATAGATCTATCTAATACAATTGAAATTTTAGTATTTTTTTTATTTAAACTAGGCTTGATTAGACTTGAATTAAGAAAATAGATGGAGATATTTCGAAAGAGAATTTTCACTTCAAACCTTAAATATTGTTAGTATATTATAAATTGTTTTTATATCCTTTGTTTTGGTTGAAATTTTTACATCATGATATGAACTGTAGTACTTCATACTTTAGATTACTTTACACCGACAAAAATGACTATAACCTAAGTGATTGAACCGTACATGACCTTATCGCTCAACCACCATTTAATAAACACTGAATCGTGTCCTATTAAAAAAGTCTACAGTTCATCAAGAAATCCAGTAGCCCAAGTAATAGCACTATAGCAACAGTAGCCTTTATGTTTGACGCTTCAGTTTTAAAAAATGTGCAATTCATTGTTAAGTTTAATTCCTCCTTCGATTATACAGATTAATATTTTTATGTTATAAGATATAATTTTATCACTTATATATATAAAAAAAAAATATGTGGAACCAATATGATATCATATACTATATATATATATATATATATATATAAATCCTATATTTTTATGTGTATAATAAGAAATAAAATTATTTTAATAATTATAACATTTGATAATTTTGACCGGTTGCAGGCAATTGACAACGTGGGACACAATCTGGTCCATTCTATCACGAACAAGATAAAAATCAAAAGATTTTTTTTTTTTTAAAAAAAAAAAACAACACATGAGAGGCGGGTTTGTTTGCATTCATCAAAGGTTTGTTTGCATTCATCAAATTCCAAGTTAGGAAGATTAAGCATCTTATTGATTCTTAATTGAATAGATCCCATTCTTAATCTATTTAAATTTCTAAATAAATATACCTTTACTTGTTTATTTTAAAGACAAATTAATATTACGCCTTAACCAATCAATTAATTTCTTACTCACTTTAAAGTGTGTTGAATAGCAAAACCCACTATGGGAAGATAATGCATTTTTATGTGTTGGGTACAGTAAGATTTAGACAGATTTTATTATTTTAATCCAATACGTGTGCTCCTCCTGATGTGATTCACGATTGTCTCGTTTCGTTAGAAAAACATGGAACATGTGGAAAAGCACTAGACGAGTGCATATGATCATATCTCAATCGACCTCAAATATTCAGTGTTTGAACTTTCAACCCCATTTTTATCTTTCGATTAGGTTTGAGCTTTAATTAAGATTGACTTGCTAAGCTTGAGTTCCATTTCGAGCTCAACCTGATTTATAATTTTGTAAAATTTAAAATTCTAAAGCATTTGACTAAAATTAATTTTAATTAATAGAATAAGTTTATTGCATAAGATTTTTTAATATGAGTTTATCTATATTAAATAAAAGTGTATTTATTTTAAATTTAATATGAAATATATTATATCTTTACTTATTAAAATTTTAAGAATAATAGTATATTATTCATTTATTTTAAGAAATTCCTTTAAAAAACTTTGTTCGAGTTTATTATGATTAAACTAATAATTAATAATTGAATAATTTCAGGAGAAATGTTATACTTACAATCTTTTTTATTTACAACCATATTTTAACAGTTGATTTTCGTTAATCAACAGTTATCATTTATTGCGAATTAATAATTTTAATTTGCAAAAATAATAACAGTTGATTGACGAAAATCAACAGTTAAAATATAGTTATAAATAAAAATAAGTTGGAAGTATAACCTTCCTCAAATTTCAGATATAAAAAATAAAAGAATTTAAACGTGTTGGAGGACAAACGGTATAATTATGCGGCGGTTGAGATTTATTTAATATTTCTCTAGATTTTAAAATGTCATTGTTTTTAAAGTTATGGCTAGCTCAATTGGCAAAGCTTAGAGTGACCTGGTTGCATGATCCGGAGTTCGATTCTTGGCTCAAGCAATTCTAAATTTTTTTGGGATCAATAGAGAAATACTCATTTTTTATGGGGGGGATTTGTCTCGTTTTTACTCAGAGGTATTCTATATTCTCCAGGTTTTATCAAAAATAAATAAATAAATAATTATTTTATACCAAACAATTTTTAAATGTTTATTACTCATAAATTACAATTAATAAGTTTTAAATGATTTGTAATAAATATACATACGGCTCTTTTTTTAAGTAAATTTATACGGCTCTTTTTTGAACTCACGCGGTTGGTACTTGAAAGTTGAACCAAAGCCATGAAGTGAAGCACGTGTTTTTGTCAGCCTCCCTGTATAATAATTCCAGGCCTGGCTTTAAATTATTGCGGATAAGTTCTTATTGAATGCGTGAGAAATTATAATATTAATTAAGAATTATTATGGAAATATATTTTAATAATTTTATAATTTATAATATATGTATATGTGTTCTTTTTAATTAATATCTATAATTTCATTTTTCAAATAATGTTTTGTACTTACGTATGAATTTTTAAATATAAAAACTAATTTATTACTTTATTTTTTAAATAATTTAATAAGTAAAAAAATATTTATTAAATATGAAAAATTAGATAATAATTAGTCATGGTTATTATGATTAGGAGTGTTCATCAACCAATTCAAATCGATTTAAGCTGCGGTGACCGAAACAAAAACCGATAATCGTATTAATCAAAAATATAAAAATTGAAAACCGAAAAAAAATCTCGAAAATTTTAATTGAATTGGAATGGTTCTCGATTTAATTAGTGAAAATCAATTCAATACATCTCTATCCAATATATTAATTTCCCTCTACATTAATGCCTAATTGTTTCTGACTTTTATGTTTTTTTTTTTCATAATATGAATTAAATGATTTAACTGTTATTTTTTAAATATTGCATTTCGGCTACTATATTAGTTTCTCCATGTCATTAATGCCTTTTTGTTTAACTTTTTAAGTTTTAAGAAAGAAAGAAATATAACTTCATTTTACACCAAATGTTCTTTTATTAATACAATATAGTAAGCTTATGTTATTATCTATTATTATGATTTCAATTTTTGGATAGGATACTATAAAAGTATGAAATTTTTGCTACATAAATATAGCATTTGAATTGAGTTAAGGATTTGTTTTTATTTAGTTTTATTATTTTTACGTGGATGTGATACTACAATAAAACTTATGTGCCAAAATATGAAATAAAAAATTATTTTAAGATCTCTCTGTATTTGTAATTGAGATTAATTTTCCTTACTTTGTTATTGTCTAATTTTTCTTCTTATAGAATATATGATAGATTCTTGAAACCGAGTTTACCCAGTTTCAACTTTTTGT